GTATGCTTCGCTTGAACATACCAACATTTCCTAAGGTATAAACTGCTGCCAAAAACAAAAGCTAAAAAAAGTGCAAAACCTGGTCAAAGGTTTTGCACTTTTACTAACTACCAGTTAGTAAAACAAAAAAAAAAGTAGATCTCCTAAAACATTTTGTATTGACCTTCTTAAATACATTTACTTTTGAAATGAAGTGAAAACTATTTAAACCCTATTTTTTACATTGTATTACCATCAAATATCGAATTACATTTTAAGAACTGTTTTTTCAATTTTTTCCACCAAAAGATTATTAATAATTAGCTCAATGTACTCTTTTAATACAAATACTCTATAATACTACTTTTAAAGATGGTGAAAATATTCATTATGCGCCGTAAAATATGAATTTCAGCAGCCTAATTTCTAATAACTCAAATGATGTTCTTTAAAGATGCTTACTATTTAGATCAATTATGCAGCGCAACAATCTTTCTTGTACTCTGGATGATTATTTCGCTTATATCTTGACCAATGTTGATAAAAATCTTGATGAGAAGTTTCGAAAGTTTGTTCACTATAGGGCCCCAAGGAGGATCCTTCGTGACTGATGAAATCCTTGATGTGGTAGAAGAAGGCGTGAATTTTGGGTGTTACGCTTGCACCAGTTATCATTAGGTAACACTTTTTGAAATTTTTAATTTTTTCAGCAAAATCCGGCTGAAGGATGTATCCAAAGCACACCTTGACAACTAAATTAAAGCTTTTGAATGCTTCAATTATGCATACAATATTGGGAACCATGTTTTTCTCAGCAAGTTGCTGCAGCATATCCAAATTTTTAAGAAGCTTCCTGCATTCATTTCCCTCAAACTGGCCCCCGTGATACGGGCTCAGTTGAATGTGGAGGACAACATGCCACTTAACATCTTCTATCCAAGCAGTTTTAAGGATCTTGAAAAGATGGCTGACATTTCCTAAGAAGAGATGCAATTCCATCGGTGGAATGATTTCCAAAATCTTAACATTGACAGGCCCGCAGATGATTGTTTTTCGAATGACATTGCCAAACAGCTTTGCATTAGCAACAACCCTGCCAGATTGCTGAAAAGACTCGAGGCTTGAATTAATTAAGCCCAGTGTTCGCAAGTTTCCCGTTTTGGTTAGACAATTGGGTTAGACGTCACACCAGATGCAAGGGTGTGTACTTGAATGAGTTTGAAGACCGCAAATTATATTTGCAACTTTGATATCACAAGCCAAAATTAGTTTAACTCCATTTGCATTAATCAGTGACCAGATTTGTTCAATATTGGAGTGTGTTTCTGGCAAATCTTTTTACGGTGGTCAATTTCGGAGCACTTGATGGTGACTGCGCACTACTTTGACCTAAAACCAAAACATACATATTTTATAGTTACAATAAAATTTGTTTAGTAAGTTTGTGTAAAACTTTCAAATTATTCGTTTTTAAAGAAATTAGAAACTTGTCAAAAATATACTTCTTGAAATTTATCTTGTGTTATTTCTTAATAGTCAAGACTTTATTTCAATATATAATTTTAAATTATTTAAGTATAAATATTTACCAGGGGCAACTGTAAGTGGAGACCCGCTGGATGCTTTAGCCAGTAGAATAGTTCCTTCCGGAGATAATTCTTTATTGGAAATAATTCGAGATGCGATTTGTTTGGATGATTTGGCATCTTTTGCTGCTAAAGATTGAATGTTTTCCTTTAACATTATTTGAGAGCATTGGTGGGGCAAACCTTTTCCTAAAGGGCCGAGGCATTTGCTGCAACGCACCTTTGGTTTATTCTCAATAGTGGTTTGCTCTATAAGAGGATGTTTTTCTTGCAGCTTTGAACAACCAATTCAACATATTAGGCAAAAACACATCCTGCCTTTTGTTTTAGGCCTTATATTGACTATTATTATTTTATTAACAGTCAATATAAGACCTGAAACAAGTATTAGGAAACAAGAGGGGAAAGAAATTGCACTCCCTCCATTTGTTTGATTTAAAGTCAATACTTGTATTGATTTAAAATCAAACAAAGGAGGGAGTGGAACTTTTTTACCCTCTTGCTTCCTGCGCAAAGTAATTCTACACGATTCGCAAAATCCTTTTGGTACCCGAGTATCACTGATATTGATCTTAGTCTTGTACAGTTGGCATATTCGATCTGCTTGAAAAGTAGTAAGCTGTCTTAAACATTTTTCCAGAAAGAGCAAGCACACAAACTTTCAATTTTCATTATTAATTTAGGTCAAATTTTGTAAAAGGCAGAATTTGATTTAGTAAAGTCAAATTTAGTGAATTGCTACGATGCCAAATCAAGCAAATATTTTTTGCTTGATTTGGCATCGTAGCAATTCACTAAATTTGAATTCACTAAATCAAATTCTGCCTTTTACAAAATTTGACCTAAATTTATATTTGATAACAATCCACTTAACATAGTAACACATATTATTAATAAAAAACTTTTAAAATAAAGGAAATATTTATCTGATTTAATTGAGGTAATATTAAATTACAAGGAAATAATTCGTGAATAGTTTTTTCCTTACCAGGAAAAAATTGCTTAAACTATTTACGTGTAAGGAAATTACATTATTGATACTTGTCACACTTATTAAACTAATGATACTTGTCACACGGGTTAGTAATATTTCAAAACAACCCTTTAACCTAATTAGTTATTCAGTTAGAGTAATTTTTCTCCGGCTGGCCCTCCAAACTTTGTCTTGGTCAGATATCTTAGTTAACTTATCTAAATTTTTTAAGTCAATTATCTTTGTCAATATAAAAAATATTTTTTTACAGTTGTTCTGTTTTCAGAAAAATAAACATTTTTATTTTCTATGTAGGTATCCCTAGAAATCCTTCTTAACCATTTTTTTAGAATTTTTTTCATTCAGGCAGTAGTTTATACCTTAGGAAATGTTGGTATATTCAAGCGAAGCATACATGGCCGCCAAGGGAGTCATGGCCTGTCCACTTTTTTTTTGTAAGGACCTTTTGTTTTAGAAATATAGGCAATTATTTTAGAAATTATGGATTTTATTTTAGAAATTGAGGGGTTGACCCCATCCACTTTGAAGGCCATGTCAACGCCATTGACACAAGCCAATTCAAATCATGTTTTAAGTAGCAAATCACTATTTTGGTCTATAAAATTTAATTAAAAGAACATATTAAGTGGTGACCATGGCCACTTTTTTGGATCGCTATAGCACTGGGTATATAGCGAGCAAAGCAGTAAATGCTTGCGTGTAAAACCAAAAAGATGTTTAACAAACATATTAGAGAAATTGTTGAAAAAATTTTTTTTATTAGTAGAAAATTTTCCATTGTAAAAAACAATTGGTATGCACAATAAAATTACGCGCTTAAACTACTGCAGTCTCGGTGAAACTTTTTATTTTTAATACTTATACGTTTTTTAAATGATTTTAACTTTGAAAAAATGTTTTTCGCTATAAAAATATTATACATGCATAGGCATCTGCGTAAGGAGAAAAAAATTCCGACAACCGTGTTACCGCATATTCTCGCAAAATATTTACGACCTCTTGCGGTTTTCTGCAAATTTTTCTTTTAATTTTACGACCACTGCGGTAAATCGCGGCTTAGGTCGAATTTAGTCGGTTTCATTACATTTTGTAAAACATACAAGATACTTAAGCATGTCTATTATGAATGTTATGAATGTACAAGTTTTTCCTGCAGAAAAAAAAAGAGAAATGGACAAAAATTTTAGCACATTTATTTGCAACTTGATAGTTTTTAGCATAAAAATTACTATTACCTATATTTTTCATGTTAAAAACTAGAGGCTTACGGTGAGAAAATTTGTTTTTCCATTTTTTAAAAAGTTCAACGCAATGACACTGCCTCATGAAAAATTTAAAATAGAAAATTTCGTCGAAAATCTTGCTTCATTTTTTAATGGATTGACTTCTAATACCAATTCGAGGCGGGTTTCACGTTCGTCAGATGTTTCCAGCAGTTTGCTTGAAAATAAACAAGCATTTGCACATTTTCTGGGTCAAGTCTTGTCCGTAGGTCAGTAACGACATTACCAGCAACAGAAAACTTTTATTTATTTTTAAAATTTGGGAAAAAAATTCTGCTTTCTTGAAAACGTTTCTTAGATATGTTTAAAATTTAACCAGTCATACAATCTGCAGTTACTGCAGATTGTATGACTTCCTAATTAGTTTGTTGACAGTTTAAATGGTTAAATTTTTTTCATCACATTACTACAGATTGCAAATTAAAAACAAAATGATCTCTAGAATTCCGCAATATACCGTGTAAAACCGCAGTAAACCGGCCAATCCAGATGCTTTCGCAAAATGATTTGCAACGCTAATCTCGGTTTCAATAAAAAATTACGCAGCTCGGAAAACCGCAAAAGCCGCGTGAGTGCGGGATTGGTCGGAGTCATGGGTAAGAAATGCAGAAGCCTATACATGTATAGAAAAGTCATTTTCGGCTAAACATTCAACATCAAATTAATAAATATTGTAATTACTAGAGAAAAGCGATTTTGCTGAAATTCAAATGTTCGGCTAGGCGCACGGCCGAATCATTGAATTCGGCGACGATCAGATATTTTAAGAAATCCGATCTGCTTTATTGAAGTGCATATCGTTACGAAAATTTTTACAAACGCCTAACTCATTTTTTTATGTTTTGAGACATTAAAAAAAAAATCACTATTTTTTTTCATACATCACAAAAAAAGATAATATTTTAAACCAATCAGAAAGTAGTTTTTTTGTGTGTAATGTAATGATGTAAGAGAGAAATAGGTTGTTTTTTTCCAGCTTTTTAATTTTATTTCTTAATACATGAAAAAAGGCGATTTTGAAGCGATCGTGACAATGTTACTTACGATATTGGTGTATTTGTTTTATTTGTGAGGTCAGGTCACTGCACATAACTTTGCAGTATATGGAAAAAACACCGAATAGTAAGAAAATTACCCGAATACCAAATAGTCGCAGAATTTTCGTGGCATCTTTATTATTACTATTGTTTTTATCGTAAGTTAAATTTACACGTAAATCCTCAATCAGCATACTTTTGACTTTTTCTTCAAATTAAAAATGCCTATATTTGATATTCCTAACGTATATTTGGTATACGAACTTATATTCGATATTTTCTTCAAATATATATATTTTTAAAGACTTTTGCTCAAAATTTAAAAATAAGCAACACCCCGTTGTTTTCTTCAAAATTTTAATTGAAATGCAAGATGTAAAAATTTATCTCAAGTTTTAAGAATATGAAACAATTAACTGTCAAATAAAAGCCAAACGATAATTTCATTTAAGCGTTGTTATACACTAAAAATAAATAAATACACCTCTGGCATGCCCCCATAACCAATATATATATATATATATATATATATATATATATATATATATATATATATATATATATATATATATATATATATATATATATATATATATATATATATATATATATATATATATATATATACAAAATCACATAAATATTACACTTTAATAAAACTCGAAGACTCAGGTTTTAGACGAAATAACCAGCATTCCGAATGAAAAACCAATTTGCGTAAGTTTAATTAATTTAGACTACAATTTCATGTAATCACTTGATATTGGAACATGAATATTAGAGATATTCGGTAATTTTGAACGCACTTCCTTTAAGACATCGTCTGCACCTAATTTCTTTAAACAATAGGCAAGTTCTTCTCCGCATTTTTCTGCCTTTATGAACTCATTAATATATAAACTGTTTATAACAACACCAGATTTTGATACCGTATAAGAGGGCGGTTCATTTTGGTCAGTTAAAATGTTTACCTGCAAGGTCGTGGAAACTGTGCTATCTAAAAAACGACTTCCATCCGCATTTAAAACTATGCCTCTTAAAGAATACTAAAATAAATAAATTGTTTTTTAAGTTAATAAAAAAAATCTATATATATTTTTTTGTAAAAAAAAATTAACATAAAAACATACATTATTTCCGCTAAATTGAGAATGACACGCAATCGGTGTACTACACCCACCATTCTGAAAAATTTAAAAATTGTACGTTATCTTTTGTAAAATTGGGCATTATTTTTTATTTTCTTAAATAACAAGAAATATAAAACATTTATTTATAAATAATTCATTAAAGAATAAGTACAACAACGTATTTTATTATCGTTATCTCTTTCTATCTTTTTAAACCCAAATTTTTAAGTTTTTTAATCAGTACAAAAGAATGCATCTGCACTAATAGGCTTCATAAAAATGTAACTCAAAGTTTGGGGTGGAAGCCTTAAAAAATCAAAACAACTAAAGTTGTTTTAGTTTTTAATTATAATAAAGTAAATTCAAAGCTATATTTTTAAAAATTCAATCAAACCAAAATTTTACAAACTATTGATAGAGCAGAGTAAAAATAAGAAATGTAGGTTCAAAGCTAATCTAAGTTAATTATGCTAACTTAGAAATTTTAAAAAACTTTAGAAAACTTAGAAATGTAGGTTCAAAGCTAATTTAAGTTAATTATGCTAACTTAGAAATTTTAAAAAACTTTAGAAAACTTAGAAATGTAGGTTCAAAGCTAATTTAAGTTAATTATGCTAACTTAGAAATTTTAAAAAACTTTAGAAAACTTAGAAATGTAGGTTCAAAGCTAATTTAAGTTAATTATGCTAACTTAGAAATTTTAAAAAACTTTAGAAAACTTAGAAATGTAGGTTCAAAGCTAATTTAAGTTAATTATGCTAACTTAGAAATTTTAAAAAACTTTAGAAAACTTAGAAATGTAGGTTCAAAGCTAATTTAAGTTAATTATGCTAACTTAGAAATTTTAAAAAACTTTAGAAAACTTAGAAATGTAGGTTCAAAGCTAATTTAAGTTAATTATGCTAACTTAGAAATTTTAAAAAACTTTAGAAAACTTAGAAATGTAGGTTCAAAGCTAATTTAAGTTAATTATGCTAACTTAGAAATTTTAAAAAACTTTAGAAAACTTAGAAATGTAGGTTCAAAGCTAATTTAAGTTAATTATGCTAACTTAGAAATTTTAAAAAACTTTAGAAAACTTAGAAATGTAGGTTCAAAGCTAATTTAAGTTAATTATGCTAACTTAGAAATTTTAAAAAACTTTAGAAAACTTAGAAATGTAGGTTCAAAGCTAATTTAAGTTAATTATGCTAACTTAGAAATTTTAAAAAACTTTAGAAAACTTAGAAATGTAGGTTCAAAGCTAATTTAAGTTAATTATGCTAACTTAGAAATTTTAAAAAACTTTAGAAAACTTAGAAATGTAGGTTCAAAGCTAATTTAAGTTAATTATGCTAACTTAGAAATTTTAAAAAACTTTAGAAAACTTAGAAATGTAGGTTCAAAGCTAATTTAAGTTAATTATGCTAACTTAGAAATTTTAAAAAACTTTAGAAAACTTAGAAATGTAGGTTCAAAGCTAATTTAAGTTAATTATGCTAACTTAGAAATTTTAAAAAACTTTAGAAAACTTAGAAATGTAGGTTCAAAGCTAATTTAAGTTAATTATGCTAACTTAGAAATTTTAAAAAACTTTAGAAAACTTAGAAATGTAGGTTCAAAGCTAATTTAAGTTAATTATGCTAACTTAGAAATTTTAAAAAACTTTAGAAAACTTAGAAATGTAGGTTCAAAGCTAATTTAAGTTAATTATGCTAACTTAGAAATTTTAAAAAACTTTAGAAAACTTAGAAATGTAGGTTCAAAGCTAATTTAAGTTAATTATGCTAACTTAGAAATTTTAAAAAACTTTAGAAAACTTAGAAATGTAGGTTCAAAGCTAATTTAAGTTAATTATGCTAACTTAGAAATTTTAAAAAACTTTAGAAAACTTAGAAATGTAGGTTCAAAGCTAATTTAAGTTAATTATGCTAACTTAGAAATTTTAAAAAACTTTAGAAAACTTAGAAATGTAGGTTCAAAGCTAATTTAAGTTAATTATGCTAACTTAGAAATTTTAAAAAACTTTAGAAAACTTAGAAATGTAGGTTCAAAGCTAATTTAAGTTAATTATGCTAACTTAGAAATTTTAAAAAACTTTAGAAAACTTAGAAATGTAGGTTCAAAGCTAATTTAAGTTAATTATGCTAACTTAGAAATTTTAAAAAACTTTAGAAAACTTAGAAATGTAGGTTCAAAGCTAATTTAAGTTAATTATGCTAACTTAGAAATTTTAAAAAACTTTAGAAAACTTAGAAATGTAGGTTCAAAGCTAATTTAAGTTAATTATGCTAACTTAGAAATTTTAAAAAACTTTAGAAAACTTAGAAATGTAGGTTCAAAGCTAATTTAAGTTAATTATGTTAACTAATGGCTCTTTAGACGATCTTAATGTATATAAACTAACTTTTTTGTATTAAGTTTTTTTAAAAAATAATTGAAGTTGTTTAAAATGTTTTGTGTCCATTTAATCCAACATTAGATATAGACTTTAATTTCTCAAAACTTTTTTTTTAATTAATTAACTAATTAAATAAACTAATTTCTTTAAAAACTCAAAAAAGACTCAAACATTGTTCCAATTTTTAAAACTCATGATAAGCTTGATCCTTCTAACTATAGACCTGTTTCTATTTCGTCAGTTATATGCAAAATTTTAGAAAGGATAATAAAAAAACTCATTCGGCATCTTTTAGATAATAATTTGATAAACAAGATTCACCATGGCTTTTTACCAGGTAAATCTTGCTTTACAAATTTACTTGAAAGCCAAGATATTGTAACTCTAGCAGTGGATCAAGATATTATCTTAGTGGATCAAGATATAAGATGTAACTCTATTGATATTTTCTTTACTGACTTTTCTAAATCATTTGACAGAGTTCACTATAGAAAATCATTAGACAGAGTTCACTATAGAAAATCATTTGACAGAGTTCACTATAGAAAACTTATATTAAAAAGTGAAATGTACGGTATAAAGGGATTCATTCTTAAATAGATTGGATCTTTTTTATCAAATAGAAGGCAAAGAGTTGTTCTTGAAGATATTGCTTCTACATGGCTTAGTGTTTTAAGTGGGGTACTGCAAGGCAAGGACAATTTTGAATTTAATATATCTCAATGATCTTCCAGATAAACTAAAAAACAAATGGAAGCTCTATGCTATTGATCGCAAAGTTTTCCACATAATCTGAGATAACAGTAGAAATGATCTACAGGATGACATAAATTCTATTTTTAATAGGTGCAATGACTGGAGTATGCAACCAAGTATAGAAAAATGTAAAATAATGCATGTCAATAAAAGTAACAAATTAAATAAAAATATCAATATTACATTTCTGATTATCAATTGAGTACTGTGGATTGTGTAAATGATCTTGGTATCATGCTTAAAAGCAATCTGAAATATGGCCATCATATATCTACGTGTGTTTCTAATGCAAATAGAATTTTAGGTCTTATCCAACACACATAATACTTAAATTGTTAAGTTTTGCTAGTACGCCCTTATCTAGAATATGCGTCTTCTATTTGGAATCCATTTTAAAAAAAAGACATTAATCTTATTGAAGGAGTACAACATAGAGCAATAAGAGCAGGATATTTATGAGGAAAGATTAAATAGATTTAATTTAACAACTTTATCTATGAGAAGAGAAAGAAGCGATTTAATCAACTTTTTTAAATGCCTTAATAATTTGTGGTAGCTGGTTATTTTTTTGTTATCTTTTTGAATGGCTTGAGGAGTATGATACTTTTATACATAACTATAGCTAAAGAAGTCAACAAATAATGCGCGCTGTGACATGGCCCAGCCACAAATGAAAAAACACATCTACTTTAATGAAGCAGGTTGGAAACTTCAAAACCTAATGAAGCAGGTTGGAAACTTCAAAATTAACTGTATCACCAAATATTCAGCAACTGAAAATTCGGTACATTGGACAAGTGGGTTGAGGAATATTCAGTATTTGGCATAATCACTATTCATAATATCTCTAGTATATAGCACTAAAGATAAAGATTGGATGTCAAATGAAAGTAGATTGGTTCAAACATTTTATAAGAGATGTTAAACTATTAAAACAATTCAAGGCTTTGTTACACCCATCACCATGTTACACCCAAAAAAAAGGTTTTGCAGCTATATATTTAGTATAGAATGCATGAGTGAATATGGTACCTACCCACACTATATACAGACTGCAACCATAAGATGTAGCATTGTTTGGAATACTTGGTACATACTATGATGAAACTATGTGGAAATGGATCAATAAACATGTATGCAATAACAACTGAGCCAAAGGCCGAACTATTTATGAAGCATACATCTTGTTCAAATCAATTAATTAAATGTTCCTTTCTCACTGTGTTGTAAATATCCAATTATTGTAGTATTGTAGCGACCTGAATTTTTTTTTCATAACATGATCTGCCTAACATGAAACATGATCTGCCTAACATGAAAATGCAATCCATAAGTTGCTTAGATCACGAGAAATAATTTATTAATTTTTATTTTTTCTAGATTTTCTAGACTTATACAGTTAAAGTGTTTCATTAAATATATACAAAAATATTTGATAATTTTAAACAGATTAGCTGAATAGCAAATTGAAAATATTGACTAATTGTGTTTAAAAAAATTAAATATAAGATAATCCTTTGGTGGGGAGAAAATCAAACAAACTAGGACGATAATGAAGGTAACAATTTACAGAAAAAAAAGTCCCACCTTTTCAGTGTTCTAATGTCTATCCTAATTTAGAAGATGTAAAAATTTCAGAAATTCCAAGGAAGAGTTTTACAAAATTAAGCTCAAATTGATCAAATATAAAAAAAATTTATTTTAAAAAAGATTTTTTTAATAATTATATTCTTTTTAATTGGCTTTTTTTTTTTTTTTGTTTCAAAAAAAAAAAACAGAAACTTTTAAAAATATAATAATGATTCACAGGTAGTTTCACATGACACAATAGAATTTAATTTCACAAGACACAATAAAATTTAAAATTGTTTTGTATTCAAGTAATTGCATCTATTTAAATCTTTTTCATACCAGTTTTAAAAAAACATTAAATTTGTTTTGCTTCATATTGGCTTTACCATAAGTGATACTTTTTACTATTTATTTGAGACAAAAATGCTCAACAAATATATATCTAATCATTATAAATAAAAACATCAATATATATATATATATATATATATATATATATATATATATATATATATATATATATATATATATATATATATATATATATATATGTATATATATATATATGTATATATATATATATATATATATATATATATATATATATATATATATATATATATATATATATATATATATATATATATATATATATATATATATATATATATATATATATATATATATATATATATGTATATATATATATAAGATTGAAAATATTATAGATACATATAAGATTGAAAATATTTAAAAACAAATACTTAAAAAAAATTAACTTGAAACCATAAAGAGATATAAAAAATGTAATTACCAAGGTCCTCATAAAAGAACGTTCAGCCACACAAGCCAGTAAGGTTTCCATATCAGTTAATTGAGCAAGAATTGATATCGTATATTTATCATCATTGCGAACCTCCACAGTTATAGCACCCTGTAAATTAAAATTTATATAATAAATATTAAAAATAATAAAATAATATTTAAATAAAAAAAAAAAATAAACAATAAAGAATATATTTTAAGAGATGAAAAAACTACAATGTAAAAAATCTTCCTTGCTGTTAATAGAATTAAAAACATTGCTTAACTTTTTAAATTTTTCCTAAAGCACTACTCGATTCAAATAAAAACTTTAAAGCACTACTCGGTTCAAATAAAAACTTTAAAGCACTACTAGGCTCAAATAAAAACTTTATATGCTTCAAAAAAAGTGATTATTAGATTACTACTTAAGAATCAAGACATAAATTGAAGCAAATAAGTTAAAAAAAAAGAGGAAAGTGAGGACTTAATTGTTTGAAATAAAAAAACATTTTAATAAAAAATATATATATAAAAAAAGCAACAACAACAAAAAAAAATATTTTACTAGCCTAAGAGTGGAAAAACTATTATTTTGGAAATTTCCTTTGACAAAAAGAAAGAAATTCAGACAGACCTAAATATAGGAGTGGGTAGGAAATGCATATATTTCTTAATAATATTAAATTTAACTCTAATTTTTGTTTCACTTGTTTTTATTGACGTGAAGTCTATACAAAGAGACGTAGCTTCTTATTGCATAATTGGAAAATAAAAAAATTTAAAAATTAATTATTTTCACAAAACATATTAAAACTAGCAAAACAAAACAAACAACAATATGTGTAATATGTAACTATACTTGACCAATCGCATAAAGACATTCGTCTTCTGACAAAATCTAAAATTAAAAAATATAATTTAAATTTTTTCTATAAAAAAAAAAAAAAAAAAAAAAAAAAAAAAAAAATCCAAAAGATCAAGTCTGCAAAATGTTATACTTGTCCAATTTTCTCAGTCCACCCCATTCGATCAACGCCAGCTTTTGCTAAAACAATTGCATCATACAAAGATTCTTCTTCTAACTTTTGGAGGCGTGTGTTTAAATTACCACGCTAACTCAAAGATAAGGAGAAACTTATCTTAATTTGTTGTAAAAAATTGATATTAGTTAGTACATAAAAAAAACAAATAATTTAGAAAAAAAAAAATATCTACAATAAATATGCAACCTTTCTGATCAGTTTTTATATTCTTATATTTAATTATATAATTATTTTTACATTTTTATATTTCTTTTATTTACTCTTTTATTTTAAACGACAAATTGTGTAAAATTAGTTAAAAATTTTTAAAACAAGTCTGAATCCTATTTTCCATAAAGAAATTTTGATGAAGATTTATCATTAAAATCATAAAACTTAAGTTTTTTAATAAAATATAGTTAGCATTTGATAGCATATTTGTTTTTCTTTAAAAAAGTATGATAGTAACAATGCATTCAATTCAATTGATGAAAACATGCTGAGAACATCATATTGATGAGAACATCCTGAGAAATGTTATATTAACATTAGTCAACCAAAACAACTAAACAAGCCCTCCCAGAAAACGTGTTTTTGTCTTATACGACCACACATGAGTATTTTATTTAAGACAACTTGGTCATGGCTGCTTGCAAGTTTTATAATATTATTCATTACAGAAAAAGTTTTAAACCAAAAAAAGGATAACTAACAAAATAGAAAATAAAAAGAAATTTAAATAAAAAAAAATGAAAATAAATTATTAAATTAAGTTAGTGGTTGTTATTTTCATTAACAAAATTAGATAATGTGAAGCAAAAAAAAAAAAAAAAAAAAAAAAAACAGTTTTAAGTCTACAATAAAAAGAGTGATTTTCCTTTATTTAACTATTTTTTTTTAAAAGAGAAAAGAGAAAAGTGAAATTATAAATTGCAATGTGTTTGAAAATATATTTGTATAATTTTAATGTAACAACAAGGGTTAAATTAAGCGATTGCAAAATGCAAAATCTGGAAAAATATCTGGTCTTCAAAATTTTAGTTTATGCAAAACTGTGTTCTTTGTTTTCAAGGGGAGAATCAACATAAATTTTTTAGCAAATGTTATAAAAAATAAAACAATAAACTTATGACTACAAAAGTAATAATACTTTAGAGGACTATAAGTAACAATTTTCATAACGCTAAGCTTTTTATAAAGTACGTTTTTATAAAGTTGTTTAATATTTGAACATCCACTTTATTTTTTTTTAGATGCTTTTCTACTTTAATTAAAGTTTGGAATTAATGATGTTGTTTGAAAAAGAATGAAATTTAAAAGTTATAAGTGCTTTATAAAATTAATAACACTATTATAGTTTTATTACTTTTATAATGCAGTTAGTTATTAGAGTGTTATTACTTTTGTAGTCATAAGTTTATTGTTTTGTTTTTTATAACTTTCTTGCTAACAAACTTATAATAATTTACTCCTTGAAATCAAAGTACACGGCTTTGTATAAACTAAAATTTAACTTTACTAAACATTAGTCCGGAATCTTTATCAAGAGAAAGTTGATTTTGAAATTTTCTGATCTGCAACCGAACTAAATTAATTTAAAAATATTTGGTAAAAATTTCAGCTGAATTAAGTTTAAAAAAAGTTACTTTTTTTAAAAAAACTTTTAAACACTACTATATTTGAAAAGATTTTATAAGTTACTGACTTTAAGATAAAGCTTTTATCAAAAAATTATTAAAAATATTATTAAAAAGCATTATCAATAATGTTTCATAAAATTAAAAAACACTTAATCAAAAATTATTTTTATGTGAAGTATAACTAATAAAATAAAAGCACTTAAAAAAAAAAAGAAAGAAAAGATACAACACTTTGAAATGTAAGTTTATTATATTTTCTTTTTAATTGTGCAACCCTTCGTAGAGAACTTGTTCCAATAATACTAGTATTATAAAGAATATAATAACAAATCAAAATCTGTTTATACTAAAAAACTAATTTTAAAAAAATTCTTAAAAAGCTAATAAATAGTATAATAAAATATAATCATAAATAACAAACATAAAAAATAAATAATAATAAATATAGCAACAAAATTAAAACCAAAGTTGAAATGCACCATATTTGGAGGTATATAAAAAATATATATTTTTTTTAAAAGATACAAATATTAAAAAAATTTTTATTGTATTTTATTAAAACAAATTAGTTTTATTTGTTCCACTGAAAATCTTAAATAAAACTTTAATTGTTTAACTTTTTTGTAATTTTTCTTAAACGAAATGCCTAGAAACATTTTCTTTTGTTTGTAAAGCAGGTATACTAATCAATCAATTTTTTTTTGGACAGTCAATTTTGTTAATTTTTATCTTCTTAATAGCAGCCCTCAGAATCAACGACAGAATACAACAATGCTGACCTAACTGCCGATAAGTGTTTAAGGTCAGTAAAAAATTGTCGACCTCATTTCTATGTTTTATGGTAAAACTTTAGTGTCTCTTGTTTTTTTGCTGACCTTATGCCGATTATTTTAATAATCGGCATAATATTCCTCGTAAATAGAAAAAATGAGGTCGGCAATTATTAGCTGACCTCATTTTTCTTTATTCTGAGGGCTGATAATAGTGAATCTTGTAAATAAAAAAAAACCTAATGCTTTTGAATTCATAATAAAAAAATAAATTCACTTTTATAATAATGATTTTAAATATTTTTCTATTTTAAACAAAAACTTAAAATTAAAGTAAATAACATTTAAATTAACTGCTAACATTGAAACAACTCGCATGTACAGAGATTTTTATTAAATTAAAAATGGAGGTTTGATAACATAAAAGTAAATTTAGATGTTTTTAAATTCAACTTTATTTTTAGTAAAGTTGATTAGATTTTTATACAACTTTTCGTATAAAAATGTAATCAACAATTTTTCTGTGCTTGTTTAGGTTAGATGTGACGTGTTATAAACGTTCATTATTATAATAAACTATTAAAAGGAGAACCATTTGGCCATATAGCAATAATTCTCCTAGTCCAAGTCCAAATACATTATTCTAACATTTCTAATTTTTTGAAATTATATATAAAAAATTAACACTATTATGCTACCTTTTGGAGTGTCTAAATAATAATTTAAAAAAAACCTATTTTCTGGAAGGTCAGCCAATCTTTTGCCATTATGTTTAGGATGAAATATAATACAGTCACGTGGATCATCTCTCCTATAAAAAAATTATAAATTTTAGTCACATATTTTAGTCATTTTAAACAAAATCAAATTATACTTTTACCTAAGTTTATTAATTTGAAATACAATTCCTAGTTACATATCCCTAAATAATCCTATTACATTTCTCAAGTTTATTTTTATTAAAAAAATTGTCATATATATTAATTAGTCTAAAGACAACTAATTTAAAAATTAACTTTAAACATGTTACTAAGATCAAAAAACAATCAATTAAAGGGTTGATTTAAACAAAACAAAAATATTACAACAACACTAGGTCTGAATAGTATTCAAAATAATACAAGTTTTTATACATTCAATTATGAAAATAAACAAGAGAGAAAAATATTGGAAAAAAATTACTTATAAATAGTGCTAATAGCCATTCCTTGAGGCAATGTAGTAGGTAAGTCTTTTAAAGAATGTACTAAAAAGTCGACTCTAAAAAAATATAAAAATTCTTATTTCTTAAAAAATTTATTCATAAAAATATTTACTAAAAAGATCTATACCTTTTCTCTGATAAAGCTAACTCTAAATCTTTTGTGAACAAACTCTTTTCACCAATCTATAAAATGTTTCTATTCATACTTAAACTGCATTTTTTTTTTTTTTGCTTATTCTTTGTAAACACATTTTTTAATTTAATAAATATTAAATTGAAAAAAATAATAAAATTACAATGTTATTAAAAAATGTAATAATATTATTATACTAAATATATTTTAATTAGGCTTTTTATTTTTGTCTAATATCAAAATAAAATAAAAATAAAAAGAATATATAAAAAAAGAAAATAAAAGCCAAAAATGCTTTACAGTACCAACAAATTTTAAATTATTTAAAATTGATTTTATAACACCTCTAACCTTTGGAAGAGCAATATGTAATATTTTGTCGCCAAGAGTGTCCATTGTTTCTTAAAATTAAAATATTATACACACGAGTAATAAAAAGTTTACAATAAATAAGTAAATTATCAATTTTTGATCAAAGTTTAATTAGTATTGAAAAATACAATTTTGATGTTGAATTGAATTTTTACAATAATCAAAACTTTTACAAAACAAAAACTTTTTTATTTGGAAAATAAAACTTTTTTGCAACAGAATAAAAAATAAAAAAAAGCACTTAGCCAAATAATATTTTATGGAGTTTTTTTTTTAAATTTATTTCAATTCCAGTATAGTATGAGATTTTTACTAATAATAAATTTTTACTCACCAGTAAAAAATTTTCTTTCATATTTATATTCACTAGTAAAAAGCTTGTATTAAATTATTAGCCATAAGATTTTTACTCCCCACATAAAATGTAATTTGCGAAAATGTTCTAGTTTGTCAATACTATTTGCAAATACGTTCTAGTTTGTCAATACTATTTGCAAATACGTTCTAGTTTGTCAATACTATTTGCAAATACGTTCTAGTTTGTCAATACTATTTGCAAATACGTTCTAGTTTGTCAATACTATTTGCAAATACGTTCTAGTTTGTCAATACTATTTGCAAATACGTTTTAGTTTGTCAATACTATTTGCAAATACGTTCTAGTTTGTCAATACTATTTGCAAATACGTTCTAGTTTGTCAATACTATTGACTCAATAGTATTGAAAGAATACAACTTGATCAAAAAAAAGATGTTTATAATCAGGTTGAAACAAACTGCAATCTTTAAAATGTTTAAATGTTTAAAGTATTGACTCAATGAAATATTTGATATAAAATAAATATTTTTGTATACCAAGCCTTGCCAGAAGCGTGCACCCACATATCTTGTTCTCCTACATTTCAAATAACTTTTTTAGACAACTTGACCATGTTTTTATATAGTAAGTATTTTAAGAATTTGCAGCAAAATAAAGCTATATGAAACTTCAGAGAATAAAACAGCAATACTCGAAGAAAGGAAATAAATACTATACAAAATAGAAAATCAAAATAAGCTACAAAAATTAAAAATTGAAAAAAATTTTGTCGAAAAAAATATATCTAAATGTTTGTTTGTTTGTATTGTTTTTTTTTAAAGGTGATTGTTATTTTCCACTACCAAAACTGAAGTTGAGGAAAAAAGCAGATAAAATATAACGAAAAAAAAAAAAAAAAAAAAAAAACATTTTTTGATATTCAATTTATTTGTGACTTGTTTTCCAAATAATTTTTAATAAAAATGATTATGGTATATAAAAAAATAAAAAACATAGAATGCCATCATGTTCGAAAAAACTTCGAAGAAAATCTGACAGTTTAATTACTTATTATAAATTTTTTTTGTTGAAATAATTTTTTTGCCTACAGCATGAAAGTAAAATTTCTAAATTGTGACTTTTATTAACTACTAATATACTGATAGTTCAGAAAAAAAAACGCTTTGAAAAAATTTGAATTTTTAAAAATTTTTTATTGTCAGATGTTTGGCAATAAATCATATAAAATGCAACTTTGATGTAATATTACTTTTTATATTTTTTAAATTTGCTCCAAATTAATATTTAAATTGCTGGTTAATTTAAAAACAAACGTGAAAATTTATTGAGTCCAAAATTTTTGCCTTCAATTAGGCAGCAACTAGAGGTGAATATCAGAACATTTTGCTTCAAAAAATATTTTAAGAGGTTTTTGCTAATGACTTCGGCCTCCATAAAAAGTTGGCATTTTAGCAGAATATTACTTTGCTGTCAAAAGACATTATCAACTCTGCTTTTAAAATTATTTTGATAAATAATTTTGATGATAAGGATATATAATTGATAAACTTTGATGATAAAAATAGTTGATAAATAAAAAGATAATTATTTGTAAACATGTACAAGAGCAAACTACTAACATTTATAAAATAATTACCAGACGCAATTTGAAATGTAGGGATACTTAAATCAAAATGTACATACATCAAATGACTTGGTTTTGGTTAAGGAAAGTTAAGAAAGATTTTATTTTTTTTTAATAAAAAATAATTATAAAAAAAACTTAAAGGTTAGTGCACTTATTAAAGATTGGCAAGACCTGTTAAAAGATAAGAAACACATATATTTAGTCAGCGATTATAACATCTTTATTCATGCTTTAGTAAGAAAATGGCAACAAAAAAAGATCAAATTATTTTTTACTTTTTTTATTTAATTTTTTTATCTTTAAAATTTATACTAAAAAACTAATTTTTATTATCAAATTTTAACTTAACGATGAAAACAAATATATTCAAGGAAACTAATTTGTTCGCAAAATACACAAACTTTTTTTCAGTTTTGCTTTAAGTTTTGGAACAATTTTGAAAAAATTATTTATTGTAGATTTAAGATTTTCTAAAACCTTTATAGATGGAAAACCAAGAGCTAAATGGCTAAATAACAAAACATTAACAAAAAAAAAAAATCATTTTTTTTTTAAAATACTGTTTAGTCAAATATTTTCATAAAAAATCTTTAAAAAAAACAACCTAGTATGCTTGCTATAATATAGCAAACTTGCATAAAGTATTTACAACATATTTGAAAGCCAGTTAAAGTATAGCAAACTTTCACTTTAAATATAAAAAATTTTTATATGTGTTGCAATCAGAACCAATTCAAAGTTTATCTAATTAAATTTAAGTATATACAGCAAATTAATTTTTTTTTGCAATAAAAGTACCTATAATGCACTCAACATCTTTTTCTTTTTGACACAAAGCTGCAACAATTGACTTTGTCTGAATAACAGCAAGCTAATAAATAAAAAATTTAAAATTTACTTTTTAAGAATTGCCAAAAAAAAAGCTAAATAAGAAAAGAAAAAAGTTAAAAAAAAATACCACAAAAAAACAAACAAATTGCGAAAATATTTTTTTAAAGAAAAAACTAATCGCAAAGGTGTGAAAAGCAACTTACTTTCTAATCATCCATATTGATGATTAGAAAGTAAGTTATAAGATTCAAGAAGAGAGATTAAGTATTTGTTAATTAAAGATTCAAGAACCTTGCTTTTGATAGGAAAAAGACTAATGGGATGGTTAGTTCGACGAATCAGATCGCTCTCCAGAATTTTTGAAAATAGGAATGACAGATGCCGCCTTTCAGCAGGCTAAAAAACTCTGATAGGCATTTGTTAAATGGTTTTGAAAGTATAGACGACAACTCCAGAGAACACTTCTGCAAGACTATAACAGATATGTTGTTCGGGCCACAAGCTGTAGAAGAGTCTAAGCAAGAAATCACTTTTAATAAAGAAGCTGAAATGATACGAATGTCAAGCAATGGATCAACCTGTTAGACAGCTATATCAGGTAGAACGCAATTAGTGAAATCAAGAGATGATATTGATGAAAAGTTCTTTGCAAACAATTCAGCTCTTTAGGTGAGGTGACAAAGTGTGAACCATACAAGAGAGGTGGAATAACAGATTTGCCATTATTATTGATATTATTAAAGATTCTACAGAAGTCAGGAGAGCCCAACTTTTGTGATGAAATACAAGATTTCATGACCTGAGAATAATGGGCTTTGGCATTAGAAAAAACCTTTTTACAATGGTTTCTAGCAGTAAAAAACGGACCTCTTTTTTCTGGAGAATTGTTTTGCTGATAGAAATGGAAGTAACAATTTCGATTGGAAATTGCAGCAGCACAATGTAAGGAAAACCATGGAAAAGAATGAGGCTTGACCTGAAATCGTCAAGAGGGAATAAAAGATTCGATGATATCACATCCAAATGTATTCTCTAACTGAATACATTTGGCAGGCCTTGTTATGAAATTTTGTTGCGTAACGGAAAAGCGCAACATGAATATATGTAACTTTATATTTTTATAAGATATTTACATTGTTAAAAGTTTAACTGCGCCAGTTATGTATTTTAAAATACCTCATTGTAATTAAATTCAAAAACACATCAGAAATTATTGTAAGTCTTTAAAATGTTTAAAAAATTAAAATTTAAAATTATATCTTTAAATTAAACAATATTGTGATAAAAAAAGTTATAAATTAAATTTAAATGTTGATTAAAAAAAAATTTCCTTATTTTAAAATCTTATACTTATTTAAACTTGATTTTTTTTCTTTGAAAAATTATTTTTATGGTTATTTTTTTTAAATGAGGGGACACTTGTTTATGGTTGATTTTCTTAAGGAATCGTCCATAAATTATGTAACACGAAATTTAACTACTAGACAAAAGAAAAAGTGTTAAAAGTTCTCCCTCGCAGAGTCTTTAATTAAACCATGTATAAATAACCCTTCAAGTCCAGCGAAAGATGCCACTCAAAAGAGCAAAATGTTCTTCTACTTATATTTTTAAAATGAGCTTTGCATTGTGTAATTTATGGACGATCCCTAAAGTACACATTAGATTGGGTTTTCCCTAAACCATAAACCTGACTTTTGATAAAATAAAAATTGAAATTAAACGAAGATTACTGCTTTTCGGTTTCGTTTTTTTTTTTATTTCCATAAAATTATTTTATTTTTATGTACCGTGAAACCTAATGTATTTTTACTATTTCTTACTGAATCCAAAAAGAAAAATAGTTTTTCGGTTTTAAGATGTTATTACCAGAACTTGTTTTTAACAAATATCAGTATAATTTTGAAATTTTATAAACCTTATATTTATAGCAAAATAATTTTTTTTTTTTTTTTTTCATAAATTAAATATAAGTTTAATATAGGCTTTTAAAGAGTTGATTTATTGATCGGGTTATTTTTAATCGGTTTAAAGTTTGGGTTGTTTTATAAAAAAAATTTTTTACATAAAATTTCATGGCAAAGGAAAAACCCAAACATAACATTTAAACTTGAGTTTAAAAAAACTTTTTTGTATTGACGTCATTTATAAATTTATAAAAAAGCATTATTCAGATCAGTATATAAGGAACTGGAACTATTTGAATCTTAACTGAAATTAAAATGAAGTTATATGTAATGCGAAAATTTTAAAGTAACTTGAATTAAATTTATTTTTTACTTTAACATAAATTTTGGAAATTTTATCAGTAAAAAAAATTGAAAAACCGAGCGTTTTAAAATTTTTAAAAGAATTTTAATTAAATTTAATCAAATAAAATATTAAAACTATGAATAATAATAAAATTAATTTAAATTTAATAAAATGAATTAAAAATAAATAAAAAATAGGGGAATGCTTCTTAACAAGGCCTGATTTGGGCGTGACATCTTTTTTAAAATTTGTATAAGTATTAGAAATAAAGGAAAAACAATCTTTTTTAAGATTTGATATTTAATTCTAAATCAGCATTAGGTTGGCAAAAAAAAATTGACCCAAAGAGGTTACCATAAAACTTAGAAACGAGGTCGGCAAAAAATTGCCGACCCTGATTCCGAGGGTTGATATATATATATATATATATATATATATATATATATATATATATATATATATATATATATATATATATATATATATATATGATATATATATATATATATATATATATATATATATATATATATATATATATATATATATATATATATATATATATATATATATATATATATATATATATATATATATAATATTCATCCATATTGATGATTAGAAAGTAAGTTATTAGATTCAAGAAGAGAGGTTAAGTAATTGATATGTGAGAAATTAAGTATTTAAGCATCTCAAAAATTAAATAATAACAATAAACTTTTGTCAGGTCAGGTTATCCTGCTACTGGTAACATGTAACCCAGTACAATCTGCTTCATGTTGCAGATTGTACTGGGTTACATGTTATCAAAGTTGCAACACAAGAATGTAATATCATTTATAAGCACGACAATTAGCAAATTAAGAAAATTTATTCAATAGCACAAATGGGAGTTTCCAAGAGTATGGAGTTATGCTCGCGTGCTGGTATCAACGTTAACAGAGACACAATGAAACAAGTTGTAGCTGAATGTGATGAATGTAATTCAATCAATCCTAATGTGATTTCGTGGGATAAAGGAAATCTTGTGATCAGTAAAGTGTGGGAAAGAGTAGCGTGCAATGTTACTCATGTTGATTCGTTGCTATATCTCACCTGTATTGATTGTGGCCCAAGCAGATACACGTTGTGGACACCACAATGTGTATCTGCTTGGTTCACAAGTGCAACAATATTTGTTCAATCCTTAGAAAAAATATGGTCATCACTTGGACCTCCTTCCGAAGTTCTTCTAGATAATTCTAAATTGTTTAAAGACTATACAAGCTATGGTGTTGAAGTGTGAAATAAGTCTTATCTATCGAGCTGTTGAAAAACCATCTAAGATCTAAGTTCTCAAATAAATTCTCTGGACAATGATGAAGCTAACAATAGTATGGACGGCGCTGATCAAAACTATTCAACAAATTGGGAGACAGAGTGACAGCCTGTTCGGTTCACTCGATATAGGAGAAGGGTATTCCCTAACCATAATCACGATTATGTGTAATTATTACAATAATTAGCTCTTTTTGAGCTAGGAAAGATGTTGCGATTTTAATGTCTGTCAATAATTTGCTTTGCTAATTGATAATAAAAGTCACAAGTTGCATATTTTTATTATTATAACATTTTGTATAGCGATCATTAATTGTTGACAAAATTCACAAGTTGTATTTTTAAATGCTATATATAGAGAACTATTTTGTTGTAAAAATGTTGAGGTTGTTGATAAGAAACAAAAACATTAAAAACAAAATGGTCTCTAAATGCATTGAACAACACATGCATACATTTTTTTTGTGGATAACTTAGCCAATGTTTTTTTGCATACATTAATAAGATATGCGTTTAAAAAATGCACTGAAAAAACCAAACTAATTTAAATAGAAAGTTAAAAAAACAACAACCATAAACTGAAAAGAGAAACTAAATTAACGAATGATAAAATAAATAATGAATAAGCCAGAGAAAATAAAAGCATAAAACTAATATATTTTTTAATTTAAAAGTGTCTTAATAAATCAAACTTAATTTAAAAGTTCCAATTAATAGTTTAAAGTTATTAATTTTTCCTTTGTCACAACATTGTTGTAGCCCATAGGTTGATAAATTGTGTCATTTATGTGGCGCAACTGGTTCTAATCCTACTAATGGAATTTTTTATTTGCTGTTTCATTTGCTGTATAGACATTAGAAAATATCAAAGTTTCAAATTTCTAAATAATCAAGTTTTAAAGTAATTAAGTTTGGATTAAATAATTTTGAAACTGATTTTTTCTAAATTCTTCATAGTAAAATACTTTAAAATATATATAAATTTTTTTCTTTTATTTTTCTAGTTTATTTTTTATTCATTTTTACTTTTTTGAATTTTTGAATTTTTTTTTTTTTAGTTTTCATTTCTCTTTCCAGTTTATAGTTTGTTTATTTATACTTTAGTGTTTTTTTTTTTTTTTTTTTTTTTTTTTTTAATGTTGATATTAGTTTGAGTTACCATTTGTTTATTCAGCACATTTTTTAAACATACTAATTTAAAACATGCTAAGTGCTATTTTAAAACCCTTATCACTTACCTTCACAAATTAATTTATCTTTTATCTCTAACTCTATTTTGTGCCCTCTTGTTCTTCTTTAAGATTAAACATTAAAATCACTAACTTTTTTTCATAATTCTTGACATCAGATTCATCATATAATTGTACTTTTAATAACTAATAACATAAGACTTCTGAATTTATTTTGTAATCTTTTGAACAACTCTATTGAAATCAAACATCTTATTATTATTGCAAATAACTCTAAATAAATGTAAAATAAATGTAAAAAGATACTATCAGGCACTAAGATCTATTATTGTCAGATTACAAGTAACATAATTGTCACATTCTCACAATGTGACCCCTGTCACAGTCTTCATTTATGCTGGAAAATTACTAAGTATCTTGGCAAAGACTTCTTAACTTGAGTCTAAAAACTTACAATCAAAAACTTGAAATCCTCTTGTTCTACGCTTTATTATAATGTATATACTGTTATAACAGATTCTACTATGCATTAGATAGAAGCAAGGCAGCAAGGGTTCTATCATGGTGAATCTCTAAAAAAAAAATTTAAAATTATTGAATCATTTCTTGTAATATAGTATTAAAGTTGTCCTTGATATATAGTACTCTTCTTCATTTCCAGTAATATTTGGGGTACCACAAGGTATTTGCAGGTGTCATAAAAGTTATTTCCGAAAAAAAGTTTGGTATTGGTTGTTTTTCATCTATATCTATAGTCATCTAGAAAATAAATGATATCCTTATATTGATTAACGATAACACTTTGCATTTTCTCAGATTATCATTCACTACTGACCTTATATGGAAACCATATATATTCTGCAAAATTTGCCTCTTTAACAGATTCTAACCAATATTCCATTCCCTACATTTATAATTCTCTTATTTATCCTTGTATGGAATACTGTTTTTAAATATTTGTTGAATAATACTTTGGTTGTATTATTCTTTTTTAGACAAGGACTAAAAATGCATTGTAAATGTTAGCATTGTAAACAAAGCTAAATATTAAATTATCATTCTCTCATGATTTAAAACTATAACTGCAATTTATTATTTGGGTAAATAAAATAACTTGTAAAGCTT